TTTCCTGCAGTATATAAAAATTGCTGTATCTCTAAAATAAAACTATGAAGACACTCAAAATAAATTTCCTGTTGTTGTAAACTATTTTTTGCAACTTTTTTGTATTTAAAGTTTTGAAGGATAAGCCTCTTAAATTTCCCCAAGCAGAAATATATGTAAAAAAAACAAAAACGATTTTCAATTTTTTTGTAGTCTATTGCACTTTTTTGCAATTAATGTAATTACTATGGACTTAATGCAGACATATTATTAAAACATGGCCTATAACAGTTGTATTGATGTATAGCAACTTGAAATGCTCCCAAAAATGGCACTACAGCATGTAAAAAAATAATATAAGCTCTGGCGGACTTGGTTCTATGGTAGGTCTTAAAGGGTTAAATAAATATCGTCAAATAATTGAGATCTCAATTTCAGTGAAAATAATCGTGATTATCATTTTTGCCATAATCGAGCAGCCCTACTTTAGGGTAAATGTTAGCGGCGCGGTAGCCAGCATCTAATGCATTACGCCCATTTCTAGTGTTTTCAAATGGCTACACCTGATGATGGCGACACCAGCAATTCGTGTTGTAAATCAAGATGCCCCTGGACATCGTCAGCAGGCCGGGCGAGAAGTATGGTTTTCACCAAACCTCCACAGGAACTACTCAGCCGAGTCGCTCCCTTCACTCAAGCACAGACGGTATCCACGCGCCTTCACGTCAGCAGTGCCTGGTGGTGCTTTCCGTGGCTCGTTACAAACGATGTGACATATATGAAGTCGTAAGTGTATCGTGTATTTAATATCGTACTAGGCAGATTTACTGCACTACCATTTACTACACATTTACCTGTGTATGGCTATTGTCAGTAAATGCTGCTCATCGTAAACTTTCTTTAAGTGTGTAACATTCACAATGATACTGTTGTTGGTAACGTGTATGATTCCAGCGTACCTGACAGGCACTATTGACTTTTTGTACACAGTTGATTATGTAAAGCCCCTCGCATTGGATTCATAATCAAGTTCACTGATTGACTGCCCTGCAGTGCTGTTTTCCTGTATTCCTGTTTCATCCACTTTAATAAAGTGTCCTGTGTTATAGTAACAGTGAGTTGTGGATTCACTTAATGAATGCCTAAGTTGGGCTTTAATCTGCCTTAGACTTACTGGTCTTCTTTGAATCAGCACCACAATAATCGTAAGGGCACTGACAAAACATGCAAGTATAAATAAATAAAATCTATTGAAAGAGAAATATGTTTGATATGTTTTTATTAAGTTGCACACAAATAGCATTCTCTGCCAACAGGCTCAGAAGACAAAACTGTATAGAAACTGTGGAGGCAAATTTCTTTTCTCTTGTATTAATCACATGTTTAATCATATCACATTAGTTATAGTAATATCACTTTCTCACTTTACGAGCACTCCCATCACCAGTTTACATGCATGTGGAATGTTAACACAGTGAGGCCATTGTAATGGGAGACGTTAAACAGATAGTGGGATGATCCTAGTGTTTCACTGGGATGCTCTCTCCACATTGCAATGTGTTTATTAAACCCACTTCATATCAAGCTCACTGGGTGTGTTGCAGGTTATTGTTAAAATTTCCATAACAAAACACAACACAGACCGGAACCACAGAAGCAATGTGTACATGCAGGTGGCAAACACAAGTTTTTGAAGTATTTGTACAACACATGCCTCTGCAACAGCTTCAGTGTTTCCTAGAATTGATTCGGAAACAATAACAAAGCTATTATCTATATGTTATGACAGTCAAATTTCCCCCAAATAGTCTTGGTTGAGGTCGAGTGACTGTGAAAGGTATATGATCACAACATTTTCATAATGAACTATTCAGTGACCCATCTTCAAATATTTAGTCACAGGACAAACATAATCTCTCATAGCATCTTTGTCATGATTTTACAACTCTTTGACCTTTGACAAGTGGACCCTAGCATGGCAGCAAAGTGCAACAATATCTCTTCGTGTACGGGTCAAGAGTTCAGGGTATGCATTTAATTTCTTGCATGTCTGTAAATGACTAGTACAATGGTATGAATAATCCTTCACATTTTACCAGTATAAAAGTAAAACAATTACATCGTCTCATCGGGGCAACCTAAAAGACTCCTTTTATGGCTAGTCTTTGCACATCATAATAACACAGAAGAGAAGAAAGCAATTCATTCTCGATTGCTGTTAATTCCAGGGGATTTTCCAACCGGTTTTGGTTATTGCATGTGCACTGATAATGCTTACTGTCCTGTCATTGTAAGCCAGTCAAAATACATAAATAACACATTGTGATCATGCTGAAGACCACAGACGGCAGTCCAGGCGTCCCGCACTTAGACTGACTCGAGTCAGTCTAAGTGCGGGACATTGTCTTAAAAAGTGGGACAAGGAATAGAAATGCTGTACAAACCCACATAAAGAGGGGCATCTGGTCACCTGGGTAGGCCTATAATAGATGTATTGGAGTCAAAACCACTGAAGGATTTTAAAAATAATTCTGTGCTGAACTGGGAAACAAAGAAGTGACTTCAGTAATGGCAACAATAGTTATTCATTTGTGTTTTAAAGGTAATACTGTTGGTTATGTGTGTGGGCACACACATCACACTGTGGACTCTGTGGAGAACAAATTGCGTTAGATATCACGAAATACGTTTAAAATTCGTTGGCATGCCGAGCAAAGAGCCCTTTAAAGTGAAATGCTGTTTATTTGCCATCTGACGATATCATGTGGAGTTGCGTCCTGCCACCTGTAGGGGCGCTGTTTTGGAAACCCCCATATGCGTCATATGCTCGTCAAATGATCGTTTGGAGGTTGATCAAAACAACCCCTTGATACCTGACCAAACAGGTTTATCCACTAAGTGGGGGATGAACAGCTGGGAAACAGCTGCTGACAGGATTACCAGGAAAAAATCGGTCTAATTTTAGTTGACTGTACTTTTTTAGTTTTAGACATGATTTACAGGGAAACAAAACAGAAAGGGCAGAACAGAGATGGGTGCACTGTGATAAGGAATTGTCATGATGACCAACAATGCGGTAACGAAATGATCCTCGGTAGAAATAAGGGTCTCAAAGTGTGCTAAGAAAAAAAAAAAGGGTGGGAATGGATGTTTGTATATGTGTGTGCCTGTATGTCTGTGTCTATATGTCAGGTTGGGTGTCAGACGCCACTTCTCTGGGGAAATCTCAGGCCCTCCAAGGTTTGGAGGCCTATCTCCCCCTACCACCACTTCCCTGCCAGTGGCGGACTCCCTCAGACATCGGTGCATTGGTGGTTCTTTGTGTCCGGGGTGGGCGTCCAGGTACACACGGCTCACTCCTTGGCGGCCGCTTATCGGGGCCTGGAGCCTGGGGCTCGCTCGGGCCACTTCGGAGGTGGGGTGCCCCGGCCTCTTGGCCTGGGGCTCGGTCACTCAGGCACGGCTGGCTGCCGGCGGAGCTCACGGGCGCGTCACTGCAACCCCCCTGGCTTCTGCTCCACGGCTGCTGAGTGAGCCCTCATCTGGGACTCTCCTCAGCTCTTTCTGGGACAGTGGCACGGCTGCCCCTCTGTTGGTCTTCCTTGGTCTCTTGTGTTCTGGGGGCCTCTGGATGTCTGGAGTTTTGATCTCCTCCATACCTGCTTCATGCCCTGGAGGACGGGGCTGTGCCCCCCCCCGCAGATCATTACATGAAGGAACCTTTTAAAAAAAAAAAACAAGCGCGTCCATGCTCACAGGTGTACACACGGGTGATCACACCCACAAACTACACCCTTTTTGGCTCCTACCTCAAAGCACACTGTGTTCTGTTGATCTTATGTGCTGCACAATAATGTTTAATATTTAGTATTTACTGTCATATTCCCATATATCATTGTGATGTTGTTTATTCTATTACTCTTGTTCTGTTCTGCTTGTTTTCTTTTTTCTTTCTCAGCAGGTGACCCAGGTGATTGATATATGCATTTTTTTCTTTTTTTCTTTTTTTTTTCTGCTCATTCTGTTGGTTTTTGTTTTTTGCCCTTCTCCCCCGTCCCTCTTCTCAGCTGTTTCTCTTTCCCTCTTTCTTTCTCCCCTTCTTTCCTCCAGTCAAGTCTGTCCCGTATTCAGTAAGCGAAAATAAAATAAACAATAAAAGGTGAATCAAATGGACCATTACGGCAAGGCTGGGATGGTCAGTTTGGTAAAGTAAATCCGTTGGGCATCTTTCTTTGCCTTTAGACGACAATTCTGATGGCAAAAGAGCCAAACAGGACAGGCACAAACCCCCCCCCCCCCCCCCCCCCCCCAAAAAAAACAAAAACCCTTACCATTGCATCACCACCACTCTCAACCCTTCACACTAGATGGGTTGGAGCCATGCTTTCATATTTATGCCAATCCTGACTTTACCAGCTGAATATCACAGCAGACATCGAGATTCAGACCAGTTGTCCAATAAAAACTCCAGTGTTGCTGAGCCTGTGTGAACTATGATCAGGTTCCTGTTCTCAGCTGACAGGACTGACACCTCCTGCACCTCGGCTGCATACCACCTAACAGCAACAAACGTAGATCACCTTTCTTCCCCATTCTGATGTTCGGTTTCAACTTCAGCAGGCGTTACTGGCCCTACCTACATATTTAAATGCACCTATATGCAGCTTGTGATCGGAAGTTCAGATATTTTTGTTTATAAGCAGCTGAACAGATGCACCTAGTAAATTGGATAGTCAGTCTTTATCTTCCTGTTTCTCTCTCTGTTGCCTGTCAACAATAAAAAATAAAAGACTAAAGCAACTACAAAAAAATAAATAAATAAATAAATAAAAATGCTGCTATAACATTTTAAATACTTGACTGGAATTATATATATTTTAAAATTTATCTAATAAAATACATTAGTTTATATGACTGAGAGTCTCATAAACTTTAAGAATGACAGTCCCCCTTCCTCCCTTCTTGAGCTGTCACGGACACAGGAAATGCAAAGAGAGAAAAACTTCTATTGGAAACTTTATTCTCTGTAATCAGTGCAGGTAACATGTATTTGTCATGACAGAGTCCATAAAATGCTGATTTGTATGAATTACAGTTGTTCGTTGTGCCAAATGAAAACACAGATTTGCTAACTTGTTACACAACACATAATGAGAACAGTGAATAAAAAAATAAATACAAGATTAGTCAAACTTATTAAGATTCTATAGTATACATTTTTTTTCTGGTGTATGAATCATGTTAAAGTGTCCTCAGCCTCCTCTCAGACGGAAAAACATGTAGATGGTGCTGTGGTTTCTGACGTTGTAGTCCTCCAGTTTGCCACCCTGCATCTCCCGGCCTTCATGAATGAGCCTCTGCTGGCTCGCTGGCACCCTCTCTCTCCCCTCGACTCTGTTCTTGAAGTTGCTCACAGTCTCGTCGAGCCTGATGTCATAGGTGCTGGAGTGTCCCTTTTCATTTCTGAGGAACACCTGGATGGGAGCAGGCGGAGGAGGCTCGGTGACCAGCAGGGACACCCGGGAGCCGTGCTGTAAGCCGTAGTAGCTGATGGGTTTGGAGTCATCGTTGAGAGGGGTCTTCTGGCCGTTTATGAAAACCAGTTTCTGCGTCTGAGGGTTGACTTCCAGTTTCTTGTAGATTTTTATTTTCAGAGAGCCAACTGTGTCCTCTGGGTTCACGGTCAGAGTGTGGGACTCACCCAGCATGTTAATAGTTATATCCATGTTGGTTGTAGTCTGAAAGAATTCAAAATAGTCCATTAGAAAACACACACACTGGGGAAAAATGACTTTTCAGTTCTTTATCAGCTTCCTACCTTGTGATGACGTTTTCACTTCAAGTCTTCAAACGTGGAAACGTAAATGATGCTCGAGCAGCAGCTAAGTTGAAGGGCTCAGCCTTTATATACACTCTGCCTCAGCTGATCCACACCCTCACACTCACCTAAGGTTCGTTTTCCCTCTCTGCCATAACAACTTTCAGTTTCTATTGTCTAAGCATGACTTGGCTCTAATGCTGTAATTAAAAAGCCTTTCCTTCACAAAATCTAGACTTAAGAAAAATGCCTGGCCTGTGGAGTCAGTCTAAGTGCGGGACATTGTCTCAAAAAGTGGGACAAGGAATAGAAATGCTGTACAAACCCACATAAAGAGGGGCATCTGGTCACCTGGGTAGGCCTATAATAGATGTATTGGGGGTCAAAACCACTGAAGGATTTTAAAAATAATTCTGTGCTGAACTGGGAAACAAAGAAGTGACTTCAGTAATCAAAGAAGTGACTTCAGTAATGGCAACAATAGTTATTCATTTGTGTTTTAAAGGTAATACTGTTGGTTATGTGTGCGGGCACACACATCACACTGTGGACTCTGTGGAGAACAAATTGCGTTAGATATCACGAAATACGTTTAAAATTCGTTGGCATGCCGAGCAAAGAGCCCTTTAAAGTGAAATGCTGTTTATTTGCCATCTGACGATATCATGTGGAGTTGCGTCCTGCCACCTGTAGGGGCGCTGTTTTGGAAACCCCCATATGCGTCATATGCTCGTCAAATGATCGTTTGGAGGTTGATCAAAACAACCCCTTGATACCTGACCAAACAGGTTTATCCACTAAGTGGGGGATGAACAGCTGGGAAACAGCTGCTGACAGGATTACCAGGCAGAAATCAGTCTAATTTTAGTTGACTGTACTTTTTTAGACATGATTTACAGGGAAACAAAACAGAAAGGGCAGAACAGAGATGGGTGCACTGTGATAAGGGATTGTCATGGTGACCAACAATGCGGTGACGAAATGATCCTCGGTAGAAATAAGGGTCTCAAAGTGAAAAAAACCCTTACCATTACATCACCACCACTCTCAACCCTTCACACTAGACGGGTTGGAGCCATGCTTTCATATTTATGCCAATCCTGACTTTACCAGCTGAATATCACAGCAGACATCGAGATTCAGACCAGTTGTCCAATAAAAACTCCAGTGTTGCTGAGCCTGTGTGAACTATGATCAGGTTCCTGTTCTCAGCTGACAGGACTGACACCTCCTGCACCTTGGCTGCATACCACCTAACAGCAACAAACGTAGATCACATTTCTTCCCCATTCTGATGTTCGGTTTCAACTTCAGCAGGCGTTACTGGCCCTACCTACATATTTAAATGCACCTATATGCAGCTTGTGATCGGAAGTTCAGATATTTTTGTTTATAAGCAGCTGAACAGATGTACCTAGTAAATTGGATGGTCAGTCTTTATCTTCCTGTTTCTCTCTCTGTTGCCTGTCAACAATAAAAAATAAAAGACTAAAGCAACTACAAAAAAATGCTGCTATAACATTTTAAATATGGAATTATATATATTTCAAATCTGACGAAATCGCGTGGAGTTGCGTCCTGCCACCTGTAGGGGCGCTGTTTTGGAAACCCCCATATGCGTCATATGCTCGTCAAATGATCGTTTGGAGGTTGATCAAAACAACCCCTTGACACCTGACCAAACAGGTTTATCCACTAAGTCTGAGGGTCGACTGCCAGTTTCTCGTAGATTTTTATTTTCAGAGATTCAACTGTGTCCTGTGGGTTCACCCTCAGGTTAAGGAACTCACCCACCATAGTGATAGTTATATTCATTTTGACTGTAGTCTGAAAGAATTAAAAAATAGTTCTTTAAATTACACCCGAAAAAAAGAGTTTTCTGTTATTTCTCGCAGGCTCGCCCAGCTTCCTACCTTGGGATGGCTTATCGAGGCAAAACAAACGTCGGAAATCTTTAGGTAAACAATGATGCTCACACAACAGCTGATCAGCGCCCGCCCACTCACTTAAGATTCGTTTTTGAACTCTGATGTAATAACTTTCGGTTTCTAGTGTCCAAACATCACGCAGTGCTATGGTGCTTTTGGTATTTTGATCAGAGACTATCCTTCTTTATAAACAAAACAAAACAAAACACGTGTTTACGAGCAACCTACAAAGGGCGTGTTAGGTTAAGAAATATGGAAATCCCGATTTTTTTTTCAGATCTCTCTTTTGGTAACTCGGAATCAAATAAAGTATGATTCCGAATGTTCATAAAAACTATTTATGAACATTTCCTTTTCGCTTTATTCTACTGGATGTGTTGCGGATTATTTCAATACTGGAGAAAACTTCTGACTGTATATGTGCACTGAGACACACACACACACACACACACACACACACACACACACACACACACACACTGTGAAAATAAAACTGATTTGAGTCTACTTTTGAATGTACAGACAGTTGTAACTGACCTCGGGTCAGCGGGAAGCTTGTTCCAATGACCACAGTAATGTCAGCACCCTCAGGACTCTTAATGGTGAATTCCCTTTCAGTAATGTGTATGTAAGGACTGGCTGCTGCATTCTGAACATGCTGAAGTCTTCCTACTCAGGATTTGGATAGTCTTGCCAATTCATTGGATTAAATTCTTTTATAAATGCAAATGTTAACTAGCTACTGCTAACAATACTCCAGTGTCAAACCACACTTCTGCAGCAGTGTAATATAAAGAGCCTTATATTAACAATTTATTGCTGATGTAGCTCCTTTGAATTAAGGAGATTGGCATCAGCCACAATGTTTCATTTTCACTTATTAATTTATTGTTTCACAATGTTTGCTGCCAGTGATATATGCAGGAACAGACATCACATATATGATATAGTAGAGTCTGTGGGGGACTAAATTATGTAAAATTCCTACATTGTATTGATGTCACACCAGAAATGTTCTTTTTAAGATCTGAATTACATGGAAACACAACAGAATGGTCAGAACAGAAGATTGGTACTGTGGTCATAAAGGGATGGACATGGACAGCAACAGTAATTAGTTAATCTGTGGTGACTAAATGATGCAGTAATAAGGGTCTCAAAGTGTGCTAAGAAAATATCTCCCACTAAACTAGCAGTAACAGCTTGAACTGTTCATACAAGGAAACACTGATCCATGTTGTTATGTCATTAACACCAAATTCTGACTCTGCTATCTGAATGTTGCAGCAGAAATAGAGACTCAGCCTTCCATTGTCTAATTTTAGTGAACATGTGTGAATTATAGCCTCAGTGTCCTGTTTTTCACAGACATGATTGATACCCGGTGTGGTCTTCTGCTGCTGTAGTCCTTCTGGCTCGATGAGCTGTGTGTTCATAGTTCTTCTGCATTAGATATTTGAGTTAATGAACAGCTGAACAGTAGCCCAGTGAGTGTTTGTATCTCTCTCTCACTCACTTAAATCACTTTTCTTCCACATTCTAATGCTCACTTTGAACTTCGGGAAGCCACCTTGACCAGATCTACAAGGTTTAAATGTAGATATTCAGTTCAATTCCATCTAATTGCTGCCGTGTGCTTAGCTGGTTCGTTATGAGCAATAATGCGCAGTCGAGTGGTGTACCTAATAATGTGGCCACTGAATATATTTCTCTTTCTCACACTCTGTAGCCTACCAGTGACTAAACACCAAATACTCTAAAATATTCAGCTTATGGTGATTTTTCAGAAAGTAAGAAGAGAATAGTTTTGCTCACATTTTTTGAAATCCTCCAAGATAAATCTTCAGGAAACATCTCGTATATAAATGTATCTAACTGTAATAAAAGCCAGATAACTGAGATAATACAACAGACTTATGTTTATTGTAAATCTGCTTAATCTGATCAATGATTTTCACATACAGAAACTATTGTGATTAACACTTAAACAGTGGACTGGAACCATTACATCCTGCTGTTGTAACACTTGGAATACTCGACTTGGAAATTAAATATTAGATATTTTCTCTCTCTCTCTCTCTCTCTCTCTATGGCCTACCGATTACTAAATATCAAATGTCCAAATACTCTAAAATATTCAGTTTACGGAAACATTTTAGTATGTAACTTCTTGTTAAATTAAATTTTAAGACAAATCTTCAGGAAACAGCTTAATCTGACTACTATTGTGATTAACACTTCAACAGTGGACTGGAAACATTACATCCTGCTGTTGTAACACTTGGAATACTCGACTTGGAAATTTATATGAGTGAGAGTCTCTTATAAACACTGAAACTGTGATTTTAGAACTACTTTTAATGGGACCCGTTTGTCTTGTGATCTTCACGGTATAGCTACAGCCCCCCCCCCGGAGCTGACACAGACACAGGAAATGTTAAGACACATAAACTTCCGTTAGAAACTTTATTGTTTGTATTTAGTGCAGTTAACATGAATTTGTCATGACAGAATCCATAACACAGTGGTTTGTGTGACTTAAACACAAACTTTAACACAGAATGGTTAATGAACATAGACGGTGCAATCTGGAGGAATGTTTTTTTTTCTTCAAAGTAAAAGCACTAATAAATTAAAAAAATATATACAAGATTGGTCGATATCATTAAAATTAAATAACATGCATGGGCTTCCTGGTGTATGAATCATGTTAAATTGTCCTCAGCCTCCTCTCAGACGTAAAGTCAACTCGATGGTGCTGTGGTTTCTGACGTTGTAGTCCTCCAGTTTGCCACCCTGCATCTCCCGGCCTTGGTGAATGAGCCTCTGCTGGCTCGCTGGCACCCCTCTCTTTTCTCGACTCTGTTCTTGAAGTTGCTCACAGTCTCGTCGAGCCTGATGTCGTAGGTGCTCGTTTGTCCCTTTTCATTTCTGAGGAACACCTGGGTCGGAGGAGGCTCGGTGACCAGCAGGGACACCTGGGAGCCGTGCTGTAAGCCGTAGTAGCTGATGGGTTTGGAGTCGTCGTTGAGATGGGTCTTCTGGCCGTTTATGAAAACCAGCCTCTGCCTCTGGGGGTCGACTCCCAGCATGCTCTGGATTTTTATTTTCAGAGAGCCAACCGTGTCCTGTGGGTTCACCCTCACGGTGTGGGACCCACCCACCATAGTGATAATTATATCCATGTTGGCTAGTCTGAAAGAATACAAAAATAGTTCCTTATAATACAAACGCTCAGGAAATAAAAGACTTTTCAGTTATTTCTCACAGGCTTGCTCAGTTTCCTACCTTGCGATGGCTTATTGAGGCAAAACAAACTTCTCCGGAAACTTGAAGTCTTCAGTCGTGCTCAGGTAAACAATGATGCTCACACAACAGCTGAGCGGAAAGCTTCAGCTCAGCTCTTTATATACTCTCCCGCTCAGCTGATCAGCGTCCGCCCACTCACTTAAGATTCGTTTTCCATCTCTGCTGTTACAACTTTCGGTTTCTAGTCTCCAAACATCACGCTGCAGTGCTATGGTGCTTGGGGTGGTTTGATCAGAGACTATCCTTCCTTAAAAGCAAAACAAAACACAATTCGACCAACTTACAAATTAAGCCACGTGCAGCGGTCGTGCGTCAAAGGGCGTGTTCGGTTAAGAAATATGGAAATGTCGATTTTTGAGATCTCTCAGATTGAAATAAATTATGAATTTATTTCATTTTGAACACAAAGATATGCATTTTTTAAATTAACATTTCCTTTTTGCTGTATACCACTGGATTGCTAACTATCAGCAGATTACTATATCACTGGCAGATTACTAAAAATGAAAAAAACTTCTGTCTGTATAGGTGCACCGAGGCAGCAATGTTCAAGCAACAGAACTTGACCGAGAATCAGCACATTTGTAAGATTTCTTCATTGTTACTGGAGTTTATGAGAGCTATCGCTATGTTCAATGAAACTTAGCACAGAGAACTGTTCTTAGTTAATGCGGTGCATCGAATTTTTCCATAATTAAATGTTAATGGTAATTTTATTTATATGGCAAATGTCACAGCAATAAAGTCAATGTGCTTAACATAAAAGATATCATAGACATCATAGGCATCCTATGATGCCGTGGACACACACACACACACACACACACACACACACACACACACACACACACACACACACACACACACACACACACACACACACACACACACACTGTGAAAATAACACTGATCTGAGTCTGCTTTTGAATACGCACACAGTTGTAACTGACC